GAGGAGGCAGCGGGGGAGCCCCCCTCCTTGTGGCCAGCCTGGGCAGGTAGGGGCAGAGCCTCGCCCCCGCCTTCGCTGGCTGTCTGGAGCGAACCTGCGTGACCCGCTCTGGCTTCCTGCGGTTCCTGCGCGCGCGCGCTCTGGGCGGACCGCGGCCAGGAATCCGGGCAGCGCCGCCACGAGAGCACAAAGCCTTTGCCCACGTTGTAATTTGCACAATAACCCGACGAAGTACGGATTGCTATTGCTTCCAATTCGCAGATTCGGAAGTCCAGGTGTAACACATTCTCACCCAGACGCACCCCTCCCAACATAGGGTTTCGCACGGAAAGGAGTTCTTCGTGACCTTGCAGACCGAATGAGTCCAGTCTCATTGGTCTGCAGCAAGGGGAGGGCAGGACAAGATCAATAAGAGGTGAGGGTCCAGATTGACTTGTCAAGGGACCCGCTCTCCGTCGTCCCGTCCCCCCCCCCCGGGAATCCGGCTCTGCCTGTCAAGCCGCTGGACTCATTGGAGACCCTGTGAGCATGTGGCATAGGTGTCTTGAATGGTGTGTGTGTGGGGGGGTGGCCTCTGCAACTCCTGCCCTAGGCCTGCTGGCTTAAGGAAGGGATTAGAAGGCGGTGGGCTCCCCTGAGGAGATGCACACAAACCTCTTTCCTTCCCCTGGGCCAGCCTCCTCAGAATCCCGCACTCACTGAGCAGGCATCCATCTATGCCAAGATGCCAGGTGGGGGTCACTAGAGAAAGCCATGGAGCAGTTCCAGCCCAGTTCTTACCTCGAGGCTCTGGGTTTGAATGGCAGCTACCATGGACACTTTACCACTTTATCTGTGCCTCCGTCTCCCTGTCTGTGCAAACGGTTTTATTTCCATGTCAGGACGGTTCCTAGATCTGGAATAGTGCCTGAAAAATGTGTCACAGTCACAGTTTCTGGAAGCAAACCTAAGGTGGGGGACACCTCACACCTCTCCTAGCCCCTCAGCACCTGCACAGTTGCTCTATCATATCAGCTCTGGGCTCTGAGAGCAAGAGACTGTCCAGCTGAGAGTGTGGACAAAGTTGGGCAAACGCACACATACACTCATTCATCCATCCACCAAAGCCTTGTCCTAAGTGTCCAAACCATGACTATAGATGTCCAAT